TAGGTCCCGCTAAATCCATTTTTCGGTAATAAGTAATGTTGTAATGTAATATTTTAGAAAAACCACCGAGATTCACTGCTCACCGAACCGAAAACCATCTATTATAATAAAAAAGTGTGCACTGTCATTGTGCACTTTTAACCCTCAACTCAAACTCAACCTGTTAATCTAAAAATAGCATTACTAGCATTAGACGCCCCTTCCCCGAAAGACAATCGGTCAGTTTTCGTAAATTTTCGTGTCGCTTACGAGGCTTGCCTCTGAAAACGAAGTTTTTACGCACATTTTAAAGCTATTTATAGATTCGGCTGTGTCATACAAAACAATTGTAATACGCTAGACAAAGAAACGCAGAGGCAAGCCTCTATCCATATACCACCTAAAGCAGAAATGAGATGGATGATATTTATTGTGAAACGCGGTAATTGACGGCGGACGGCGGCAGGACCGTATTTTACTAATTTAATAATAATTCTAATTGATATAATAATGAATGCAAATAGTAAAATAATATAAATTTGTGATTTATTTAATTTGCAAATTATTGGTGAGGCACTGCCTCATCTGCCTCATAGGAGAAGCCGCCACTGATAACAACCTGGAACAGCACAAAGATTTAACTGGGTTTATTATATAGATGAATAAAGAGGTTAGAAAGCTAAATCTTAAAGAAGTAAGATCTACCAACAAGCTAGCATTTATACAAAAAAAAACTTACCAACAAACTAGAATTTATACAAGCATAAAGAATATTTTTGTAATATTCGTGAATCAGATGCACCTTTTTTTATTTGATATCCCCTTGAATCAATGTGATGCTCTATTGTTGCAAAAAACTTTAGAAAAATCTTCCATTTCATTGCAAACTTCGACAAGTATGATCATTGCTAATACGATTTTTGTTAAAACACTTTCAGACAAGCCACGACCATCTGAGTCACACAGGTTTTAAAATAGCAATAAATAGGCAACTACAAATATTATTTAAAGAAGATTCTTGTTCAACCTTCTCAAAATATTGTAGATGCCTCATTAACTTTTATTAACTTACTGGTTTGTTAATTATAGTAGTATATTTCGATTTGCAAATTCATACTAGGTATCGCAAATTCCAAAGTTCTATATACGAACTCTTTGAGTGCATTATATGAATAGTATCTTATTCCGTGTATTTTTCACAAAACTGTATCTCCTTGTTTATACGAATACGAGCTTGGAGCTGTATTATAATTATAGTGAGAAAAATGTGAAACCTGTTTGGAAAAGTTGAATAACTCTTGCGCAATCACTTTTTTTTAGTGATTCAAATAGGTTCTATTGTTTCACATTTTTTGAAAATTGCTGATATAGTGTCAGAATCGATTGATAGGTGGCGCCATCTTTCCGTCAGTAGAAAACCTAATATCAAATAAATGATTTTCAAGAAACTCTTAAGCGTTTCCGTCGAAATAGGCAACAAAAAATTCCTTATTTATGCTGTGGGTTGACTACTCACAAATTATATCGAATATTACTTGAAAATTTGCATGTTTCGAAAAATCCATTGAAATAAGGTAAGGAAAATTATAGGGAATGCACACAAGTTGAGAATTCCAATAAAAAATCAAGCGTTTTTGTATAGAGGGAATAAGTAAATTAGATATAAGATGGTAAAGTGAAGGAAAAATTGATTTCATCAGCATAAAACATTTTGAAAAATAGTTTCATTTTACATGATGTGTCTTCGAACAATCGATTTCTGCAAACAATTGAAAAATATTGAATATCTTCTTCAGGAAGTGTCACGAAACAATAGTTATTTATTATTCAAGCTAAGCACAACCTCGAGCTAAAATCTAATATTTTTCCCGTGTATAGTACACAATTTTTTTCAGTGACGGAAACATGATGATTTATTATTGGAAAAAACATATTATTACAATATGTTAAAGTCAGAAAGTTATCGATGTGAAATTTGAATTTTTAAATAGGTATGCTGTTGTACTTATAGCGTTGCTAGGAAACCAATCAATACAAAATTAAATATCTATCAATTAATAATATAATTATACACAAAGAGTATTCAACAAGAACCCCAAGAATTCGGAACAATCCTCTTGTTGTCCTAACGAGTATTTAGTGGACTTCAAAGACTCCAGGAAATCGGTTGTTTAAATCAATTTATTTCTGTAAATTGATTTAAAAAATTGCGAACTTAGTGGTCAGTAGTTATTTTGAATAATGCCCAATTCTGAGTTTTTTCTGATTCCACCGGAGTTAGTAGTAGCAGCGAAAGTAGCGCCACAAAAATTTTTGTCAGCTAAATCGCGGAAAACTTATAAAATATATATCCGTGAAAAAAGTACTCACGGGAAAAAAATAATTTCATAAAAAGTGACATTTTGTTACCTGTCATCAGAGATAAAATGTCAAACTTTTTTCCCGTCACAGAAAAAATGTATTTTATATGCGTTAAAAATGTGTTGTTTATGTTCTCAAAAAAATACAGTCAATGAAAAACCATGTTGGGAACCTGAGAAAATTGTACAAATGATAATTTTGCATTTGTGTAATATTCAAGTAACCCAGATCATTTAAGATAATAAGTGATGAGCAACCAATTCTGTATAACCCCGATTCTGATGAATCATTAGTGTGCATATACTCTTCGATGTAAGATGTTAACTTTGATATGAATAAAAACGAAACTCTTGGTAATGACTGGCTTCAATTAAACTACCTGGAAAACCAAACATTTCAGCATTGGTGTTCACTTTCGTACGGTTGTGAAAGCCCTTGAAGTAATTTAGAAGTAATATGCTTCTTTATTTGAACAAAATAACTGAATAAAAATGAGTCACTGTATTTAGAAGTTGAAGAGCTTGAAAAGTGGAAATAACGTTACAAAGGATTAAGTGTCAGCTTGAATAGTAGAAACTGCAAGTAGTTTTTTTTTTCATAATTAGAAACCAATAATGATTATGAACGCTTTAAAAATATATCTAGTATGAACACGCCAGAGAAAAGTATAGTACCTATACAGTACACAGTTATACAAGTGCATCGGTTTTGCAAAATATTCATTGAAAATTCCATAAAAAGTGTTACTTGAACTATTCAATTCAATTGCTCGATTTTTCTAGTATTTCGCAACTTTGCGACTCCTGAACTATAATATCTACAAAAAAATTGTATTAAATTTATGAAAAAACGATCGAATCGCTAAGTACTTATTAATACAACCTCACATTTTTAGGAAGTGCTTTCAAGAGAAAATCATGTGTAATACCTGATCAGGGGTATCGTTAGAAAAAATCAAGAATAAAATCATCGAATTTGAGATGGTTACAGTAACCACTCAGTATATACACATACAAACGCAAAATATGAGACTGCTTAGAAACACAGATTGACGAGTTTCCATCTAAAATTAGGCAAATTCACAATCAATCATATTCGGAAACTGAAAAATACTTCAAAATTGGAGACAAGCATTTGATGAAATGATAATTTTCAATTTTGGTTGTTTCAATACATTTATTTCGTTCTACTCTCTTAGAAACATATCAACACCCACAACACCGTTTCCATGATGGAAATGGGACAGAATTGGTGCGATGCTTGCGAGAGACCCCTAACAAACTTCAGCCGAGTGTCGTCATGTATAATATGCAATAATGTCAAACCTGTGACACAATAACCGTGGACCTACTGGTCAAAAAAAACAGCAGCCCTTCTCAGGGCTACATTATTCATACAAACAGTAGTAGTAGTATTCACAGATTATGTGACAAATGACTACTTTGACTAAAAAAGTCGAAGTTGGCTAACAAATGTAAGTCATTGAATATCTGTGCATATGATGAGTACTACAGAGTGGGATGAGGATACTTTTACATACATTTTGTTTGAGACTATAATGTTAACAATGTACTGACAGTCGGAAAGAAACAATGAACATTAAGTGATAAATTAGTACAGCGCCGTACGCAGTCCCGACTACCAATAATTACGCGCTCAAGATATCTGCATTAGAGATAATCGCAGATGTCAGCCCAACCGAATTGCAATGGAGGTCCTGAGGGAATCGCCTTGTTGATCACGGTTGATCTCTATACCGGGTAAGTATATGGTCTTCCAAGAGTACTTCAATACAGTCTCAAAATATGGAAATATAGTTGCGCTATCTATGAACTTAGGTTGAAGACCGTGATCGACAAAGTGTGTAAAGGAACTGGTGTTCACTTTCGTACGGTTGTGAAGGCCTTGAAGTAATGGCGAAACAGGTAAATTGAAAAAAAAACAAATTGATATGGAAGACTCTGCAGTGTGCAAATTTAAGTAAGAGAATTACTATTCTTGAAAAAGTTACAAAGAATTCGTTAACAACTGTCTAGGAAAAAATGAAAGTGATTAGCAAAAATACTTGAAAACGAAAAGATTACACTGAAAAATAAAGTTGAAACTTCAGAAATATTAAAATAGAATAACTTAGTCACCTACGGCATTGCAGAAAAACCAGAAGAAAATCAGAGACGAATTTACCAAATTAGCAACAACAAAACTGGATGTGCATTTAAGCAAACCAAAAATTTGTAAAATTTTCAGACAAGAAAAGAAAAAGGGATATAGCAGACTTATATTATTTTAAATAAGAAATTTAGCCAATGTAACAATAGTGCTGATCCAAAAGAGATTTTTCAAAGAGTAGATATTCAAAAATGAAACTGACGCAAATGTTTGGCAATGGATTTATTGTGGTTAATTGTATAACAACCAGTAGCGGCTCGTGGTATTTGAAAATGGTGAGGCACAGTTAAATTTTTTTTTAGCAAAGTTAGAATTTAAAGTTAGTTAGTTAGTTAGAATTTAAACTTTAAATTTAAAAAAATAAAATTGTTTATAAAGCTAGGGCTATGTTATCGAACAATTTGGTCCTATAGAAATATTTATTACGCAACTGTCCAGCAAGAACCAACGTGGAGGTGTAGAGCATTCTTGCCATGGAAGGGAAGGGCGGAAGGGATGGAATTGAGAGAAATAGAGGAAAAGGGATTGGTGAAAAAATAAAGATATTAAATAAATAAATATAGATTCTGAAATAAACTTAACAAAAATTTAAAACAAATTATAAAATAAACTAAAAAAATCAACTCTGCGTAAAATAAGGAGTTTATTCTAAAAATGTGAAAAAAT